GGAGTAAACAAGTATTTTTAAAAAGATTTACTCCCTCCTCCCCCACCATATGTGTGTGTGTGTGTGTGTGTGTGTGTGTGTGTGCTGGATCTCTAAGTGTCCTAAACAAACATTTTTTTAAACCTTTTCCAGAGCTGAGAACCGAACCCAGAGCCTTGCATTTACTAGGCAAGTGCTCTACTACTAAGCTCAGTTCCCAATCCTCTAAACAAACATTTCTTAAGCAGTATTCTAAACTGCTGAATGTAGCTTAAAGGCTAACAAAATGGATTCTTTTCAAATTAAGAACCTCAGTTCAAAATTTGGTGATATGGATTACTGACCTGCACACTTTCCTTTACCTGGACTCATTTCTTTACTTTATTTGGATTACTGATTCAACAGAAGCCAAGAATATAATTTCATAGCACCAAATGTCATTCAATTGTATCTTGTGCACTTTATTGTAAATAATGGAGAACAGTGGTCAAGAAATAGTTTTTATCTTTTAAAAAAGATCTGTTCATAAAACATCTCCACAAAACAGTGAAAAGGAAATGTATGAAGTTAAAAAGATAGTACTACACATGTGTTTTGGCAAATTACTTCTATGTATCTGTATCTGTAGAGTTCTCACACATCAGCAAGTCAGATAACTGTGCTTTCCACTATTCAGTGGGAAAATGAAAATTAAAGCCATAACATACCATGGCACACTCACCAGAACGCCTACCACTAAACAAGGTGAAATACACTCAGCATATAATATATACCTGAAAAAAGTGACAGAAGTTGCCAGAGTGGATGAAGACATGAAGCAGCTGCAGCTGTATGAAAGAATTCAACTTGGCAAAGTGCTCTGGAAACTGTTTTGTAGTACCTATCAAAGCACATACCTGTTGCAGGATATTTGATCACACTGTGAATCCCAAGATTGTGTTGTTTATTGGAAAAACAATAGTTATGGTGTGGCTCAGCCCTTGCACACAACTTTAATCCAAGACATGGCTAAATAAAGTCAACTACAGGTCAAGAGGCGTAACTAGCAGCCAGCTAACAGGGAATGAACATAAGAAAAAAAAAAAAAAAACATAAAGAATAAGACGAAGGCAGGAGGACAGATGAGAGATGCATAGGAATTAGAAGGGAGAGAGATTCAGTTTGAGGTTTTTGAGACTGTATGGGGAAGAAGTCCGGTTTTTCCTTTTGGGATGTCAGCTGAGGAGGAAGGTCAAGTGGGTGATTTTTCTGCCTCTCTGCAAGGCACCGGGCTCCCGAGTCTTTAATGGTAAATTGAACATTTGAGATTTTGTTAAAAACAAACACATACCCTTTGACATAGCAGCTCCACTCCTATCAATCTGATTCTGACTACTACTGTGTATTTGACTGAGCTCCATGTTCTACAGTATCAGAAGGACTAGTCCTACTAACACCAAGTTACAGCATATCCAAATATATCCCAGCAATAGAATGAACAAATGCATGCTAACAGAAGAAAGGATGGCAATGTTCCTGTTAGCTGGTATAAAAACTCAGGTTAAAACAGTGTTTCCAAGCAGCTGGTCCTATCCCACTTCTTGATCTGAATTGATGCTTTTGTCAGATTAGTCAGAAAGGCCAGTACATGTTGAGACAAGAATCCAGGAAGCACAACTTAAGGAGGTGCTCACTCTTGACGACTGAGGTCATTCGTCTTCCCTGGGCATCTTGCTTATGTTGTTGAGCATACCTGCCTTCATAGGCATCTTGCTTGCCTCACCCATGTCCCAACCCTACTGTTCAGTTAGTGTGTATTTTCTGAGCCGTATATTTTTCTGCATGTATATAATACTTATACATAAATCCATTAGGGGGTCTGATCTACCTCATACCATAAATGAAATAAACATTAAAACCTAGATATATGAGATTACTATTAATCACCGTAAGTAGAGGATTTCTTAAGAACACAGGAAGCAAAGATCAGACTACATTAAATGAACAGATTTTCTTTACCAGAAGGCCTCTTAAAGTAAGAAGACAGGAGGTAGCAGTGCAGCACTTGGAGGGCAGAGGTAGGCAGATCTCTATGAGTTCAAGGTCAGCCTGGTTTACAGAGCAAGTTCCAGGACAGCCAGGGCTACACAGAGAACACAGAGAAACCCAGTCTCAAAAAAAAAAAAAAAAAAAAAGTAAGAAGACAAGCCATAAACATAAATTAAGTAAAGAATGATTATCAGAATATATTTCTTTTAATTGTGTGTGTACACACGTGAGTACCGGTGCCCTCAGAGGCTAGACAATTGGTCTCTCTGAAGCTAGAGTTACAGGCAGTTGTGAGCCACCTGACGTGAGAGCTGGGATCTGAACTCGGGTACTCAGGAAGAACAGTATACACTAGTAGGCACTGAATTATCTCTCCAGCCCCCAGAGTATTTTTCTATCAATGAAGAAATGTAACTCAATGCAGCAGAAAACTAGAATGACTAATGAAAAGATGTTCAAGCATCAGCAATAAAAAAATTGCTAAAATTATGAGGTGTTAGCATATCAAGTAGACCACAGAAAACATAAACTCTGACAAAATAAGTTTGCAATAATACAGGATCTCTCTTCCACTGTATATATAACATTTTGGATTACTATTTTGTGTTTTCTAACAAAATTGAAAATGTGCAAACCTGTGGTGGTTTAAATAAAAATGGCCCCATAGGCTCACATATTCGATGCTTCATCATTAAGGAATGGCACTATTTCAGAAGAAGAATTAGACCAACTAGGAAGTGTGGCTTTGTTGGAGTAGGTATGGCCTTGTTGGAAGAAGTGTATCACGAGGGTGGCCTTTGAGGTTTCAAAATCTCATGCCAAGCCCAGAGTCCTCTCTATCTACAGATAAGAATGTAGCTCTCAGCTACTGTTCCAGTGCTTGCCTGCCTGCCTGCCACCATGTTCCCTGACATGATGATAATGGACTAACCTTCTAGAACTGTAAGCGGACCCCACCTAAATACCTTCTTTTATAAGCTGTCTCTTCACAGAGGCATGTCATGGTGTCTCTTCACAGAAACAGAACAGTGCCTAAGACAAAGCCGAAGACTAGTATATTCCCTATAGACACTCCTTTGCAAGTGTGCTAATAAGTGTGCATAGATGGGATGCAAAGTGAATAAGCTGTAATTAATAAAAGTTAAATTAAATTTAAAAAATATGTGTGCATAGAAATTTGGCACATACCTTAATCCCAGCACTCAGGATACAGAGGCAGAGGCAAGTGGAACTTTCTCAATTCTAGGCCAGCCAGACTGCCACATCTCGGCAAGAGATACCTTGCTCTAGTACATGAGAGGCTGAAGCCTGTCCCCGTAGACCCTAGGACACTTGATCAGGAACCTGTGTTTGGGCAACACAGATTGTCTCAAAAAAACAAACAAACAAACAAACAAACAAACAAAAAAAAAAAAACAGGGGCCAATCTGAGTTTAACACACTTAGGTTCCAGCACTAGAGAGGCAGAGGCAGGCAGATTTCCATAAGCTCTAGGCCAGCCTGATCTACAGAGCAGGTTCAGACCAATCAGGGCTGTACAGACTGTCTCAGTAACAGCAGAATAAACAACAACAATAACAAAAACAAACAAATAGAGCAGGACACAGCAGTGGAAATGCAGGTACACACACAACAATGACATCACATTTTGACAGTCAAACAAAGTACAGAAATCACAGAGTACTTGAGAATGATTCATCTATATATGTTTACACAGACTAAGATTCTAGAGATGGGAAAATTACAATGAAGAAATTTCAGAGCTTTTCAGAAAACTTCTCATTTTTTTGTTTTGTTTTAAGCAATAGAGGTAAAGGTTCCATGTATCTATATGTGTGTGAATGTGCATATGAATATGAATACTTTCTATGAAGAGAAACAATAGAAATATTTAGTGGGAAAATGTCAGTAGGACTTAACTTATTCACTTCTCTCAAATAACTGGATCACAAGAGAATAGCATCAATTTTACCACAGAGTTCAGATCCTTATAAATACAGTTTCCTCTGTCAGGCTGGTGTGCTTATGTTTATTTGACAGAAGAGAAAGACAATCTATTTTTTTTTCCTTTTGGTTTTCTGAACATGGTCCCAGATAGTCCAGGTTAACCTCAAAAATATTATGTAACAGAGGCTGATCATGAACTTCTGTTATTCCTGCAGTTGCCCTTAAGGCTGGAGACATGTACAAGCATGCCTGCCCTTTTTATTAATAAACTAATTATAATTATAATATAAAGGGTATGCACATATGTGGGTGTGTGCATACGAGTACAGGTGCAGAGCTGACTCTACAGCCCCCAAAGTAGGAGTCTTAGGGAAATTTTAAATAGAATCCCTTCCCAATACACAGCCTGAAAATGTTTTTGTTTCACAATCCTTTACCTACAATGTCAGCACACACAGTAAATATTATTATCCAGACAACTGCCAGGTCATGGTATGGGCCTTCCTATAGCAAAAGAGGGCCTTAGCAAGTCCTCAGCTTTAAGTCTCTGCAGAAACAAGCAAAGTCAAGGGCTCTAAGCTCAGCCCTCCCCAGCAATCAAACCACAATGCTTGTCATGGATGTTGGTATCATTTTTTTTTCTGATTCAGGTTAATCTGTTAAATTTTTCTTCCCTAACCCCCTCATGACCAGTTATTACAGTAATCAGAATTATGAATACTTCTATGGAGTATGAACATGTAAGATACTTAGAATTTTTTAAATACTAAAAATGTTACTTGATATGAAAAACTATAAATATATAGCTATCTTTAATAAAAATAAAACAGACTGGGGTTTTTTTCTTATTGCTAGACAATCTCTTACAACAACATACATTTCCTTCTAGGAGACTGTACTTTTAGACGTCAGAGGCGGGCTTGTTTCAGTTTTCACACCTGGCATGCTCCACTGCACTCTGTTACTGTGACATGACCTGAACACAAACTGAAAATGCCACCCATGTTTAAGTGGCGCAATGAAGGGTCACTAAAACTTGGCCTTACTTGGCTGCCACAGGCCTCTTCTTCCTCATCACAGTCTAAGCCCTGATGGGCTATCTCAGCAGTGCTGTTCTCCTGAACAGCACTGTTCTCCCCATCAAGCAATCTGGTGGCATCGGTGGTGACTTTTACTTTCATGCTGTGAAAGCCAGAGGAGACTGAACCCACTCGAAGGCTCAGAGGCTCCCCATCAAACAGCAGTAACTGTGAGTTCATCCCCTCTCTAAAACCAGGGGGTTGGTAATCATGTGGCGTCACTGCAGAAGGGACAAAAATATTACAAATTACGTTTCAATGGAGTAAGTGACATTGACACTTCATATCTAGTAACAAACATCTTTCAGATGCCTATAAATCCTTCTTATACACAACATCACTTGAGCACTTAAGAAGGAATTTGACCAAAGGTCTCTACCTACCTGAGTTATAATAATGGAGCTTCATAGTAAGTATAACATCATTAGGAAGGGGTTCAAGGTTCTGCATCAGTATATACAATTGACGGATCAGTAGGGAACAGGCTTTCTTAACATTTTCACTGTTTGTCCCGCTTTCAAAGCTTGTACTACTGCTACAGTCATAAAAAATGGCACTTTTCAATCATATATTAGTCACAATATACTCCAAAACAATACAACTTTTGGCTACATCATCTAATAAATTAAACATCAGAACATTTTGTAGATAATTTTTAGGAGGTAACTTAAGGGAATAATACTTTCTTCAATGCATATGCAAAGGATTTCTGAATAACAAACACCCCTAAAGCATTTTAAATATTATTTTTAAATTTTGGCTTTCAAATAACCACATCATATTACTGAGAACAACGGATTTGTAATTAGGTGACCTGGCATCTAATATCAGCTGTACTGTTAGCTAGTTGAGTGACCTCGGTCAAGTCATTTGCACGCATTCTAGGTCAGTTAGCCCATTTGTGAGATAAGCTTATGGATATTTCAGCAGCTCTCCAAGCATGAAATCAGTCACTAGCTCTATGCTTATCTACCATCTGATTGTCTCTCAGAGAAATCACCTCCTCACTCTTATATGGATCACTAAAGCATCTATTCTTCTGGCTTTCTTTTTTTGTCTACACTGAAAGACATGCTGCAGCCAAATTAATACTCCCAATAGGAATGCCTGTTTATGTCACCTTCTTGCATAACACTCTTCTATGACATCTATCTTCTATGATATCTATATCTTTACATCATTCTTGTATTATATCACCTTTAAATAAAATACGAGGAATGGTGTACATACGAGTGTTTTTTCACCCCCACTCTCCCCTGCAGCTACTACCCAATTTCTTTCAACCACATGCATTTGTAGCTGTTCTGTGCTTTCTGTCTCTTCCTGATGCTCCTGTAGCGCCTACCTTGCTCACATGCCATCTCTTCAAGGAAGTCTTCCTACTGTACTCTGCACCTTCCCCCTCAGAAGAATTATTTGTCCCCATATAGACTACAAATGGCTAAATCCTTCATCTCCACAGCCAGGGTTTAGTCTCTAGCTACCCAATAAATATTTGCTGCATTAATAAATGAATGAAAGAATTGGGCTTATTATCTTCTAATTCAAAATCTTCCTTATTTCTCTCCCAAGTTTTCTTTCCAATTAGCAATTAGTCTCACATTTGAGTGTCTTCAGTGACAAGCTGAAGACAATGGCAATATATTTGCAGTAGCTTGAACAGTCACTCAGCACTGAAAAATAATAATCTCAAACAATTAAACTATTAGGCCTTTCCCTGACTTTTGGAGGAAGTTAGAAATCACAAAGTCAACAAACATATATTAAGTGGATATTTTAGCCTCTCTATCAACTTCCAACAACTTAAAGGTTGTCTACCAGGACTTTTAACCAGCCAAGATAAAGGAGTGTAGACATGTAGCTCATGGGGTCCCAGGAAACATCAGGCAATAATATCTAGGACCCTCATTTAAACCATCTTTCTAGAAATTTATACTGCATATTATCTTCTTAATACTTTAAAAATTCACCCGTGTGCTTTCCTGTTTACTTTTTGGCATATGTGTCTCTAAAACAAACCAAAAGATCAATCTGGTTGTCAAGAATATGTATACTGAAGTTCGGGGGAGTAAGGACAACTGTTTATGTGGGGAAGATGTGTGAAACATGTCCTATACAGCTGGGCTTTGTGGAGCACAACCTTGCCTATGCTTTAAATTCACGGTCAGCCTGGGCCATCTGAGACACTGCCTCCAAGAGAAAGGCTGTACACCCTGTAAAGTAGTATGTAACTAACTCATTAATTGTGGCTAGTATTTTAAATTTTCTTTTTGAACCTAGCCTTTCTTTTTATATCTGAGTAGCTTTTGCAAAAGTATAATTAAGGAAATGAGCTTTGGAAAGAAATCCTCAAGTTTCTCAGGGGAACTACAGAAAAGGCAGCATTTTGCCAAATTTCTTTTCACAATTGTTCCCTTCAGGATATCTATCTCCCCTATTTGAAGACTTTTACTAACAGTCTTTTTAATAACATCTGTGTCATCTACTTCTATTCCATTTCATCAGCACTCCTGGGTTCTCTAGACCTGTTGGCTAATCTGAAACCAAAAGCTTCTGAGAGAAGAATGTTGCTCGTTAACAAAAAACCTCATATGCACTAGGGTCTCCTTTGGCTCTTTGACCCATTACTGTATCTAAAAACATGGATTCTAAGACTTGACAGGGTCAGGAGGTGGTGGCACACACCTTGAAGCCAGCACTCAAAGGTAGAGGTAGGTAGATCTCTGAGTTTGAGGCTAGCCTAGTCAACAGAGCAAAGTTCCAGGACAGCCAGGGCTACCCAGAGAAACCCTGTCTCAAAAAACAAAACAAAGCAACAACAACAAAAGACTTAATAGAAAAATACAGTGCATATGAGTTTTCCCATATAATGACACACGTAGAAAATGATATGTCTACATGTAGGGATAAGCATATGACAGGGGTTTCATTTCTCTGAGGCTCAGTCTGCCTGTGTTGATGATGGAAAGGACCAATATCTTTGAATGCCAGCAGAGCCACTGGATTAATAGCTAGGGACAGTCATATGGGTTCTTTATCTAACATCATGTTGTTAGCCTTATTAATATTTTTTAATAAAATCAATTTTTTCAAGACTTATTATTACTTTTGGTTATCTGTAGGTGTGTGTCTGCATGTGGATCTGTGCACATCAGTACAGGTATCCTCAGGAGCACCATTCCCCTGGAAATGAAGTTAGAGCTGTAAGCCACCTGATGTAGGCACTTGAAATTGAACTCAAGTCCTCTGGAAGAGTGCTTTCTTAACCACTAAGCCATCTCTCCAGACACTTTATTAGTATTATTTTAAGTGCCATGACATCCACCATTGCCTCTACCTTCACCAGCTTAATCTATGGACGTCAGACCTTAAAACAATTATTATAATTTCTACTCATAATAGTGGATTTTTAAGCTGGGTATGGTGGCACAGGCCTTTAATCCCAGCACTCAGGGAGGCAGGGGCTGGATCGCTGTGAGTTCCAGGCCAGCCACATAGAAAAACCCCGTCTCAAAAAGCCAAACCAAACCAAACCAGAGAGAGAGAGAGAGAGAAAGGGGAAATGACAAAAAGATATCAGACTTTCTGCTGGCCATATAGAAGCTTATATTTTCTTCACTCCTATACATTTCTCATGTCCATTAAACAATTATATTCTACCTGTCAAAGTCCATAGTGGTGCCCTTTCTTGTATATTTGAATTTGAATTGGTATATCTCAGTCACTTTCTAGAAAAACCAAAGAGAACAGAGAAAGAAGTTAATTTCGAAACAGAACCAGATTTTTACCTCATAAAAAGGAACATTTTTTTGACTATAATCTATGCTTCCTCTGTATGTTTGTCTCAGAGCATTACTTTACTGAGGAGCAATGCTTCCAGGCATCATGATAACTTAATTTCTCTCCTCTCAGATAAAAAAAGTTAGGCAGCAAATATTTTACTTAAGTGTTACTAGTTGAGGAGTCATTCATTCATGTAATGAATGTTCTATCAAATATCTACTTTGGGCTAGAAACTGGAGTCACATTGGTGAACAAGGCAAAAAAGGACTTTTTTCTTTTCTTTTCTTTTTTTTTTTTACATAGAACCTACAGCACCAGCTAGTAAACAAAGAAAATAAAATAATTTCAGACAGAATTGGTGACATGAACAATATAAAGGAGATGATGTGGAACAGAGTACATAATGAAGAGAAAGAAGAGCTAGTTAGATTTAGAGGGGTCAAGAAAGACTTGCCTGAAGATGTGGCATTTTGAGATGAGCCTCAAGAAGGGTCAGTCTTATACAGACCTATGAGACATTGACTCAGACAGAACAGTAATGAAAAAGCTCTGAATTGAGAATGGATGCATTTTTCAGAATAAAATAAAAGTTAACTAGCTGGAAATGAGAGATGTGGAACCTTGCTGATGGTAATAAGGATTTTGGATTTTATTCTAAGTTCATCAAACCTATTGAAGGCTTAAACAGATCAGTGTTATGCTATCAGTGCTATGATTTTAAAGTTCTCTTTGTATACTTTAAGAATATAGTGTGTTGGTTTGAATAAGAATGGCCCTCACAGGTTCATTTATTTGAGTGCTTAGTCACCAGGAAGGGAGCAGAACTATTTGAAAGGATTAGAAGGATCAGGAGGCGTAGCTTCGTTGGAGGAAGTGTGGCAGTGATGACACCAAGCCCAGTGACTTGTCTGTCTACCCCAATCCCCTCTTGGCCTACAGGTCAGAATGTAGCTATTAGATATTGATCCAGTGCCTGCCTGTGTGCTGGTACGCTCATCGTTACTGTGACAGAATAAAACTCTCAAACTGTAAGCAAGCCCCAATTGGATGCTATTTCTTATTAGAGTTGCGTTGGTCATGGTGTCTCTTCATAGCAAAAGAACAGTGACTAAGACAGACAGGGAAGGCCCAGGTATGGTAGTGCATGCCTTTAATCCTAGCACCTCAGAGGCAAAAGAAGACAGATTTCCGTGTGTTTGGGGCCAGCATGGTCAACACAGCAGTCTGTTCCAGGACATCCAGGGCTATGTAGAGACACCTTGTCTCAAAAAAAAAAAAAAAAAAAAAAAAAAAGATGAATACAGACAGACAGGGAAGCCGTAAGAACAGCTAAAAAGCCACTGTGGCAACTGAGGGAAGAAGTATGTGAATGGCAACAGAAATCTTCAAATTGGAAAAGGAACTAGGGTCTATGGCATCAAGTGTCATTTCCTGCACTATAAACTATTACTGCTATCTGTTCTCATCACTGTTAAGAATGTGATAGAATATAGGGGGCAAAATCCCTCATAAAAAGCATACTCAAATAAAATAGTTCTCTTCAGGCTGGTGACATGGCTCAGAGGGATAAAAGTGCTTACATTGCAAGCGTGATGACCCAGGTTTTATCCCAGAGACCCACAATACAAGAACAACTGACTCCTGAAAGTTGCCCTCTGATCTCCATACACACCTGCAAACACACACCTTCAAACGTACACACACACACCTGCATACACACACAAGCATGCACACATGTACATGCACTAGTACGCACACATAAATATAATAAAAGGTAATTAAAAATACTTCTGATTAAAAATAAATGTTTTGCCAGTTAGGTTATACAGTTTGTAGACAGAGCTGAAGGTGCTAAAGGCAGCTACAGTGCGAGTTGAAATCAGAACACAGAATAGGACCCTCGTTCATCTGACAGTATGGAAACGATGATGTTACACTGACCCAAAATAGTTCTGGTGTTCCTGTTCTTATCTCAAAGCTCTGCTGAGCCTATACTTTAGCATACAACTTAATCACAGGTGATCGGGTCCTGGGAAATTAGCTAATACTGCCTCACCCTAAGGAGACTGATTGGAATGAGTTAATTTTAAAAGAGAATTGCCTATTTGAAAAATCAAACCAAGCCCAGAAGGTGCTTTGTGAATACAATAGAAGAGATGGGTCAGATTAGAGGTGGCTGCAGGTGCCTAAAAGCAACAGGTTCACTCCAGATGGGCTAGATACACAGTGTCCTCTCTTAGCCAGTGCTAAGTATGATTGTCCTGTCAAGCAAACAATGCCTATTCTTCTTGCCTGCCCGTGTTTCTAGTTAACTCTAGCCTCTTAATCCTATGAGAAAGTGTTTTGTAAATAAAAGAGATCTTTAAGTGGTTGGTAATGTTTTATTTGATTCCTAAACCTATTGTTTTACTGTTGAGATATGTAACCGTTTTACAAAAGATGTTAATGCTGGGAGTGGACAAGATGGCTCAGGTTAAGACCACTTATTACTCTTACAGAGGGGCTGAGTTCAAATTCCCAGCACCTCTATCAGGAGGCTTACAGCTGCCTGGAAGTGCAATGGCGGGGATCTTACCCCCACTTCTGGATTCTAAGGGCACTGCTCACATGTGATGCACATAGTCAGTGGACACAAACCGCACAAATTTAAAGAATCATTATTTAAAAATGTTAATCCTTGATAACGTCACACATGTTCAGTGTTCAGATTTTGTCTCACTCCTCATTCCAATCCACTGCAGACTCCTCAGGTCTGTCTCCAGAGTGAATCACAAATCTGTCTGGTCTTTACTCTCTGTTCTCTAACCAAGACTTTATCAAAACACAAACCAGCAGGTTCAGATTACACAGGCTAGCATTCCCAGCTACTCAGTAAGTGGAGACAGGGAAATCGCAATTTAAAGCGAGCCTGAGCATCATACAGAAAGGCAAGGGTCAGAGGAGGAACTAGGCAAGGTCTGAGTTCAGTTCCTAGGACTATAATAAACAGTTCAAGTACGAATCAGACTGTGTCATTCCTTTCTCCAAACCTCTCTCCACTGGCTTCTCACTGTCCTACAATAAAATCTAGGACACCCTCCTCATTTGTCCTTTACTTACCTCTCTGCCATTCCTCCATCCCACTCCCTTTTTTCCTTTTCATTTAAGAGTCAGTCTCAGAATATCTTTTCTCTCTATGAACACTTCCTGTCTTAGGGTCTCAGTGAATCTACATTCTGGCTTGCGCTGTCAACACTCTAATGTAGGTGTTACTGTCCTCATTACTGATGAAGCTAGGATGTTGTAGAGCTCTGATCTGATTCTCGAACCTGGCATCTTAACTGCACTGCTGTTCTGCCTGACACATACTGGTGCTTTTCACAGATCTGGAAAAGCTGGCTCTTGACTATTCGATCTCAGCTCCAACAGTAGTACAGCAGGGATGTCCTAATGGCTTTGTCAATCTAAAGCAGCTATCTAAGATCTCCTTCTGTGATTTTTACCTCAGCACCGACCAGCACAACATCTTTGTAAACTTTCCTCATGGCATTACTACCTTAAACTACTTTTCTAATTTCTATTTGCTTATTGCTCCTTTCTCAGGTGGATACAAACTTCTGGGTAGAGACTTGGTCTGTCCCATTTATGTCTATGAACAGTGCTAAGTACCAAAAGAAGAAGAAGAAGAAAAAAGGAGCACAATTAGAGTTCATCTGCAAGTAGAGTTTCATCTTAGAAGGATTTACTCTTGACACAGGGTCTTTCTATGTTGTGCAATCAGCCTGAAACTCATGATCCTCCTGCCTCAGTCTCCCAAGTGCTGCAATTAGAGGTATGTGCCACCACACCGGGTCTCTAATAAAGGAGCTTTTAAAAAACAGTCTCTAAACACATACTGTTCAGTTCCTGAAACAGACAGTTAAAACTTTGCGTTGATCACCTCCAATAGGTACAAAGGACTAGACAGTGAAACAGTAAGATTGCTACTCACAAAACTCATACACATAATTCTTTTGTTGTTGTTGTTTGTTTTTTCAAAACAGTGTTTCACTGTGTAATCCTGGATGTCCTGGAACTTGCTCTGTAGACCAAGCTGGCCTCAAACTCAGAGAGATTTGCTTGCCTCTGCCTCCTGAGTGCTAGGATTAAAGGCAAGCACCACTACTGCCCAGCTTATACATGGAATTCTTAATGCTTTATCGTGAATTAAGATATATTTGCCTTACATGCCTCTCACATGTCATGATTTGACTCAAGCCTTTGTCACAGTTTGTGCTTGAAGAAAAGCTCTTTGTCACTTTTCGTTACTTTAGCTCTCAAGTTATCTCTTTCAAGACAGCAATCAGAACAAAACTTTAAGTGCAAATGTACCACAATTGTGGGCACGGCTCCTAATTCTGTTGGCTTCTGAACGAAAAAAATGCATTTGGATTTAAGTTATGGTTCAACTACTGAACTATGATACAGTCTTCATTTTAACTGCCTGTGTAAAATCTATTTTTGTTCCAAGTTATTTTTTGTGCCATTTTGTTCAGGGAAGGTTATCTTTTCAGTGATATGACTCAAACCTTTGGCACAATATCAATAAATGCTGGAGACTGGGTTTATCTGAAAATGTTGTGTCATGATTATTTAAGAAAATGAGATCAGAGAGCTACACAGTTTTCTCAGTGACCTGATGGTAGGCAGTAGCCAAGCTATAAAACAGTGGGACCTTGTGCATGCTTTTAGGTACTATTGACATTGCAGAACTATCATAGTGTGGTGCTCTTGTCATCAGTGCTATGGTGATCTGAATGAGAAATGTCCCTCATAAGCTCACGTGTTTGAATCCTTGGTCCCCAGTAGGTGGCATTGTTTAGGGATGTTGTGGAACCTTTCTGAGGAACCTTGCAGAAGGAAGTGTATCACTGAGAGTGGGCTTTGGTAGTTTATAACCTCATTCCCACTGTTTTGTGTTTGTGGTTGAAGATGTAAGCTCTCAGCTTCCTGCTGCTCCTGCCATGCTTGCTACTTGCTATGCCTCCTTGCTTTGATGAACTCACCTCTCTGCAACTGTAAGTTGCTCTTGGTGATGATTTATTTATTTTTATGATTTATTTAAACAGGGTCAGATGAAAGGGGAGGAGGTCCTCCCCAATCAGTGGACTTGGAAAGAGGCAGGGAGGAGATGAGGGAGGGAGGGTGGGATTAGGAGGGAATGAGGGAGCAGGATACAGCTGGGATACAGAGTTAATAAAATGTAACTAATAATATAAATAAATAAATAAATAAATAAATATTAAAAAGATTTATTTATTTCATGTATATGAGTGCTCTGTTTTTCACACACACCAGAAGAGGGAATCAGATTCCATTACAGATGGTCGTAGGCCACCATGTGATTGCTGGGAATTGAACTCAGGACCTCTAGAAGAATAGTTAGTGCTCTTAACCGCTAAGCCATTTCTCCAGACCCTGGTGATGGTGTATTATCACAAGGGCAAGAAGGTAACTAATACAACTGTCAACTTTGTTTCGAGTTGTGTTTAAAAAAACTGTAGTGTTTTGAGTTATTTTGTTTTAAAGATTCAAATATTCTACCGTTTTTTAGTAACCAGAAGTGTGCCATGAATAAACCCAGCACTTAGGGATTGTTACTACAGAGAATGACTGTTAAGTGTTCAAAATACTTTTGTGGGCTCATAGACAGTTCAGAACTTATATAAACAGCTCTCTTTCAAAAACCTCATTATTCTATATGCTAGCATCAGAACCAATTTACAGTTTTATTCTCATTCTGCCAGATTTTTCTAGAGGTAAGCTCAAGTTTATTACCTTTAAACCTACTGATTCCTTTTTTTTTTAAATAAAGTTTTATTATTTAAAAACATGCAAATAAACATCACGCTCCAAAATTAACCAGATTTCAAAGTAGGAGATGTGCATGCCTAGGAAACATAATGAGCACTGGAAGAACAAAACAATGTACTAATGGTTTGTCAGGAGTTTTCATTTGGGGAACTCCTCAATCCTAATAAAAAAAAAATTATCTTGAAACTAAATGGGAGAAAAAAATTGGGGTGGGATGTAGCTTAGTTGGTGGGTTGCTAATCTAGCATGCACAAAGACTAGGTTCAAACCCTAGGACCCTGCAAACCAGGCATGGTGGTGCCGTGTGACCTCAACACTGTCACACACAATGGGGGCATCAGGTGGAGGCAGGAGGATCCCAAGTTCAAGGTGATCCTCAGATATATAGTAAGCTCTCAAAACAGAAGGTTGGGGGAGAGAGTTGGGGAACAGAACGTAATTAAGGAATTGCTGCACACCTGTATGCCGCAGTCTTCCTCGCTTACATAGTCATTTGTAATCTTGCAAAGAGAAAATGTTAAGGGCTTAAAAACAATTTAGTCTTGAATATCACCAGTTAGACTAAATCCACTGGCTTAGAGAAGAAAAATTCAAAGCAAGAGAAAAAAAATAAGAAAGCTAGAAGAGAGAGACAAGACAGGCTGATAAAAGAAAGGTCTCTTTCCTTCACGTCTATGTCACAGGTACAAAAACAATTAAAGTGGCACGAGTAACTATTCCATGTTTAAGGCTATACTAGCCACTCTGCAAGATAGAAAACAACAGCCTTTTCCTCAAGAACTCCTAACCTTCTTAGGAAATAGATGAATCAACTGAGAATGTTAAACTGTGGGGCTCTGCTGGGAAGGAACTTTAGGAAAGGTACAAGTTAGTACACCTAGAGACCAAGGGGGCTTTCACAGACGATCTGAACATCAGTGAGGTGCAGGGCTTACTACGCCCAGGAATCTAAGACAGGAGGAAACAACTAATGCTGTCCAAGTCTGTGAAAACATCAACAAAGAGCACTCAGGTGATAAAGAGTACAGAATAGACTGTATCTTTTATTTTTTCTGAAAGATCATAAGAGAGATAGTTAAAATTAACAATAAAGTGTGAATTTTACATATTTATGATTAAAAGAATCTTAATATTGACTGTTACAGAATAGTCTCAGTTCCAATTAATGTTGTTTTTCTTTTTTCTAACACTCTATGTAAGAGTGTTTCTAACAAAAATCTTGTAATAAAATCCCAGTCCTGTTTATAAGAAGATATAATGTTCCCAATGAATGGATCTGTTCACACAGTAGTCTAGTAACATAATCTATGGCCTCAATTCAGATAAACATAATTAAATATGGTATACACACTACCATCTACACACTACTATCTTACCTCAGGGTCCTTGGGATTTGTGTAAAGCTGTTGAAGGGAAAATATAGAGCACTTAATTTCCAAAAGTTACGAAATCACTGCTCATTGAATACACCTCTGAAAGGTCCAATTTGTGCTCTGTTAACTGAGTACTACCTGGACATATTTCAAACCAGAGATAGGATGAGCCTGTATTTTATTAAAAACTCAGAATCTTTAGAACTTTCTAGGAACACTAAATATGAGGAAGTTTATAACTGACGTAAAGTACTATAATTACTATGACTAAGCTACAACTAATTTTTTTTTTTTTTTGAGACAGGGTTTTTCTTTGTAGCCTTGGCTATCCTGGACTTGCACTGTAACCCAGGCTAGCTCGAACTCATATAGAGCCACCTACCTCTGCCTCCCTGAGTGCTAGGATCACAGGCCTGGGCCAGGCACCCAGCTACAAATAAATTCTTAATGTTATTAAGTAATATATTTAAAAGTGTGGTTTCAGAGTGGTCTCAGAATAGGTAAAATATTTAAATAACTAGTATATATTATCAATGTATCTCAAATTTCTACCATCATTTTATATCTATGTGTACATAAAACTTCAAAAAAAAGTCCATAAAACTTTCAAGACAAAAAACTTTGACTCTGTAACATAACAAAAAACATATTGAAATCCTAAGAGTTAATATGGCATATTCCATATGTTCTCTCATATATAACATATGATAAAGAAATATACTAAACATTTATCTTATAAAGCTCTGATATCCAATATTTAAATGCTAAAATGTCATAAATCTCAAAAAGGGAGAAAGAGAAAGATTACTATTTAAATGCTTCACTTGCCAAAAGTCAATGCAGAGACAGAGACTTGGTCTTTAAGTGTGTACTTACTGTTAACACTGCCATCTGTAGCTTCAAGAGAAAAGAAAAACACTCTGATTATATACTTATACTATAATACTATCATTTCTGATAAAGACTAATTCAAGTATTACTTCAGACAGATTCGAAATACTTGGATAGGAAAATATTCAGAAAAAGGAACTAATTATTCACTCATCCAACCAATGTCTATTACAAACACTGGCTTCACCAGGACATAAGAAGGTTATAAAAAAAAAGTTATTCTCTAAATTGGGAACAAAAAGATATGCAAAACAATTCATTACTGCTCAAAATTAAATATGCCACAAAAATCTCTAAAAAGTACTCCATTTTAAATTGATCTAGCAAGGTAAAAATTAAAAATTCTTGCCTCTCTATATACTACAAAACTACAAAGACATTTTCCCAGTTTTAAAGAAATGTTGAATATATAAACATATATACAATCAAGCCTATGACAAACTTTTAAACCAAAAATATTAAATTTGAGGACCATGATTCTATAGCAATTGACTAAAACTTTAGTGCCACCATGTGGCCATTTTGGCATATAACTGACTTTTTATGACCACACAGTAAAATTGTTAATAGTATATTGATACACTTAAAAAAAGAGAGAGAGAGAAATGTGGCCACTGATCGCAAGAAGCATGCCAACCAGAGAGGGAGACTAACATGAAGAGAGTCACGTGGCACACCATTCCACTCAGGGCTGTGAAGAACAGCACAGGGTGCCCCACTGAAGTGTGGGCAAGCTTTTCTGCAGAACAAACTGGAGCTAGGCAAGCCGCGCACATGGGGCCCGGGACAGAATCTCTACGCCAGAGGGGCATTATGGGCGAAGATAGCAGGGACCAACACTCTCTAGAGTATGTAGCTGAGATGGAGTAACGGGTGTCTTGGAAAGTCAAATAGGGACCATGTAGGACTTCTCGATCATGAGAAGGCCTTTAAATTTTATTTTTAAATTCCTGGAAAATCTTTGTGGAATTGTAGTGTGGAAAGTGGGCATATGAGAGTAGGAATAAGGAGGAAAGTTTATAGTTCCTTTTTACAAGAATTTTTTAAATATATGTGCTTATTTTAAAGAATTCAATTTCACCATAAAATATAAAAACACACAATTTCATAATTAGTGAGATCGTGTTCAACAGAACACCTTTCAAGGGCACTTGCTACTGAAACTTGGTTTTACTTAAACTATTTTTTGTTTGTTTGGTTGATTGTTTTTTTTTTTTTGACACAGGGTTTCCCTGTGTAGCCCTGACTGTCCTAGAATTCACTCTGTAGACCAGGTTGGCCTTGAACTCACAGAGATCCACCTGCCTCTGCCTCCCAAGAGCTGGGATTAAAGATGTGCACCACCAACCTATTTTTTCTTTTTTCTTTTTTAATATTTATTTAGGTATTTTATGTATATGGGTCCTCTCCTTCATGTACATCTCCACACCAGAAGAAGGCATTGGACCCCATTATAGATGGTTGGGAGCCACCATGTGGTTGCTGGGGAACTTAGGACCTCTAGAAGAACAACCAGTGCTCTTAATGGCTGAGCCATCTCTCCTTCCTGCCCACCCCTGGGGTTTTGTTTTGTTTGTTTGTTTTTTAAAGAGACAGGGTCTTGTCACAAAGCGTGGATGGCCTTGAGCGTGACTGTCATGGTTTATAGAGTTGCTCTTCTAAAGGATTCTCAGAGCCTTTTTGTAACTCAGTCCCCAGACATACCTGGCAAACCAGGAAGTCTCCTAACGCAGAGGTCTGCTTAAGTATTGGTCCCTTCAGACAACTCCTAGATCAGATAGGAGGTTTTGGTATGCGGAAATTGACTTGCTAAAAGTGCCTTTTGTGTAACAGTCAAGAGCTTCTGAAAAGCTCCTAGGTTTTCAGTCACCCAGAGACTGATCCCTTGCTGCTGAGAAGCAAAAATTCATTCTGCAGTGTCTTTCTCCAGTTGATCAACACAGCCCAGAACAAAGACAACCAATAGTTTAGCATATATATAAACATATATGCTATATATTTGTGTAATATATAAAAATATATAACATTTATATATAATATATAAACATATATTTGTATATAAATTTATAAATATATATTTCTATAATATAAAATCTATAATATATGCTTAAAATATATAATACATTCTATAAATATATGATATGTTTTATATCATATAACATATATATGATATAATATATATTCCATATATATTATAGAATATTCTGAATAATAGATAAGCAGTTCTGAAGCACAGAAGTGTATGCTGTCTTCCCCCCCCATAATGTTAATACACAAGTACAGCTGAACCAGCGTATAACTGCAAATTATCAGCCCTTGTATGAGCACCACTCACCTTCGGACATGGTCTATAAGCCCTTTCCTTACCTGTTTTATCTTTGTATCCCGCCATCCCCTGGATCAACATGGAATGAATTATGAATAACTGTTCACAGTAACTGAGAGCAGAAGTGAACAAGGGAATGTATGGCTACATTAAATAATTCAATATGAAGCTTATTAACCTCAACATTCCTTAAATAGGGAAAAGCGGAGGGGCATGGTGGCAGCAGTTTCATGTATATGCATCTGATCTGTTCAGCCAGGCCTACAGCCTCTGCTTGTCACACTTTCTGTCTAGAGAAGCACGAGAGATCATATGCACTTAAAATTTGAGTTGTGTTTCCAAAAAATTCAAAGTTATACATGAGTTATAATTACCAAAATAAAATAGGGTAAAAATTCATTATTGAACTATTTTTTTCTTTCCCATCTGCAAACTGAATTAGCAGTTTTGGGACACATTCAATGTGCTAACAACCAGATTCTTGTCTTCCCTAACCCACATCCTGTGCATCTTATCTTGTCCAGTGACTTCAGAGGAAACTCTGTGGTTAAAAAGATATGAGGATATAAAAAGGAGAATAAAGCTTTCGTTTCTAGTTGATGTAAGGGGGACATCAGTGGGGCAACAAAGACAAAAGGAAATAAAATCAACTGTGAAAATCAACAGTGTAGCACTGTTAAACACTACAAAATAAAAAGTTTAAATTTTATAAAGATGAGTCTTTAATCCTCATGTAATTTTTAAAACTTTCTTACGTATCTCTTTTCCAAAGCATCAAAACAACCTTGAATCCTGTCAAGAAATAAAATCCAAAGTCACTTTGGCCCACATGAACAATCAAAAAAATAAACACAAGTACATAATTGTTTGCACTTCTATTTTGAAGTATATTATCATTGTTTCTTTTCTGTTAATCACCTTTTAAAATTCAACACCTTTCCATATATTTATAGAATATTCTAAATAACAGACAAGCAGTTCTGAAGCACAGAAGTGTATGCTTTCTTCTGCCACCACAATGTTAGTACACAGATATGCATATGATGAATAATCAAATTTAGCACTTTTTTCTTTATATAAGTCTTTTCTTCTAAAACTAAATCAACAGGTTGAAAGAAGAGTGAATAGTTGCTACAGTTTCCAGGAATAATGACTATGAAAAGTGGTTTAAGGAAATGATTTTACAAAATAAAGTTGCTTGGCTAATTTCAGCTATGATTAAAATGTTGTTCTATTTTTACAGAATTTACTTACCATTTAATAATATGTAATGACCCAGGACACTTTTTGTCTTCCCGGAGAATTTTTAAATTGAGGTCTAAAGAAATAGAAACACCACTGTTAAACTGAAAAATTCATGTTAAATAGGGCATTTCCTTTATATTTTCATTTGTAAAATTTAGTTTTATGACTTATATTTCTTTCTTTTTCATTCTTCTTTTTTGTGGTTAGCTGGTGTTTTAGAAGTTTTTGTTTGTTTGTTTTGTTTTTTGAAACAGGGTTTCTCTGTGTAGCCCTGGCTGACTGGAAGCTCTGCAGGACCAGGCTGCCCTCAAACTCAGAAATCTGCCTGCCTCTGTCTCCCAAGTGCTGGGATTAAAGGCACGAACCACCACTGCCTGGCACATTTTTAACTTCTAAATACCTACTTTAAAAATAAGCTCTCTGTTGACAATGATCTCAGTCCTAACAGTGAAGGCAGCTGAGCAGACTCCCACTCCACAGTTAGCACAGCTGGTGGGTTTCTTACAGAGTTAGTTTCTATCACTTCTTTGTTTCCTTCCTAAATAATCTAAGGTGTCACAGAGACTATCCCAACAATTTAAACATACTCCCAATTTCATTCTTTACTATTTTTCCCTCTCAATGAAAAAAAATTGAACACAAACAAATTATTCTTATATATTTCCATATGAAATCTGCCATTTTTCATTCTAGGGAAGAAAAAAAAGACACTATAAGTTTGGGTTGAAATCAGTATAAAAGCACTGATTCATGTATGATTTAGCAGCAGCCTCTTGAATTTTGAAATTTTTACAAACTATGAATTTGTGTACTTGTATGCACAAGTACAAAAGTGTGTGCCACATAGCATGTGTAGAAGCTAGAAGGCAGCTTACAGGGGTCTCTCCTCCCCTTATGTGGGTCTCAGGGAGTGACCTCAGATCATTAGTTTTGTCTGTGAATACCTTTACACCTGCTGAGCCATCTCACCAACTCTCAGTCTTTCATCTTTTCCTATTGTTTTCCTACGCTAAAATTAACATCACCTTCACCACTGTTGGGGGATATAAAAATTATTCTATTTTGACAAAATACCTAGAGATTACTAAAAAGAAGACTGCCTATAAACATTGAGCATTTTTGCGACATGTCACTTTAAATACAAATATATTGAGGGAGACTAACTTCTACTGTAACAGTCACACACACACAAATGAAACTATGAGCAAGGTTCTCCCTCCATGCCCAGGGTAGTATGAGACAAAATTCCTGGAGAGAAGCTATACTTTTGGAGGCTGATTAGCCAGCACGGTGGTGCACCTGTGATCCCAGCACTCTAGGAGGAAGAGGCAGGTGGATCTCTGTGAGTCTGAGGCCAGCCTGGTCTACAAAGGACAACCAAGGCAACACAGAGAAACACTGTCTCAAAAACAAAAACCAACCAAACAAAAAAGCCAAACCAAACCAAACCAAAATGCTTCAGTGGTTGTGGAAAGTTGGAATGTTGCAGGTCCAGGGCCTAAGTCCACAAGTTCCCTTCATAGCCATTTATTGCCTACCTCTGTTTATGAGCCAGCATCCTTGTGGATATTAGGTGAGTAGTTTTCGTATGTACCAACAGACTCCCTAGCTCAGAGCAACACAAAAGCTGAAACTGTCAGCAGACAACACCTGAGGCCCATAGCAGAGACTTCCCCACTCTGCTGTACCCTACCTGATGTACCCACCAAACTGCTTGAAAAGCACCCTTTATGACTTTCTTTGTTCTACTTCCACACTGGAACATAACATTTGGGTTTGGTAGCAAGCTAAATCTGTGTCCCTGGACCACGTCACTCTCAGCTGGCCCTAGAATAAACTATCTTGTTTACCTCTAGAGGTAGAAGCTGTGTTTTTCAGGTTTTGGTTTTTATGTCAGCAGTAGTGACTAACATATAGAAAGTGCTTAACTTCCCAAAGCATGCCTCCTTTATAATTCTATGTTCCAAAAAGGAGAAGAAACTTACTATATTCTACCTGCAAACACATTAAATGCTACAGATTTATCCCAGAAGTTAAAAAAAGCCACTAATACAAAAAAGGTGCCATGATTACAAGAACCACGCTTGTGTGTTTATAGTTAACATGCACTTGATGGATGTTCATTTGGAGAATAAATATTGTTTAAGAAAATTAAATTGGAATGAAGCTGTAGTATATTATTATATATAAGCATTTCAAATTAGATTTGGAAAAATAGCATCTTACAAGGAAATTTGTGGTTCTCTATATTTCTCAAACGATAGTTCTCTTTTTAGTGACTCACAACAAACATTATTTTATTTTTATTACGGGTATGGGAATCTTGCTTGCAGGCATATCTGTGCACCATGTGTGTGTCTGGTACCTAGGGAAGCCAGAAGAGAATGTGGCGTCCCCCAGAACTACAGTTACAGATGGTTGTGAGCCTGGGGGTGCTAGGAACTGACCCCGGCCCTCTGGCAGAGCAGCCAGTGCTCTTAACTATAGAGCCGCTTCTCAAGCCCACCAGTTTTCTGTTTGGTTTTTAATGTAGTTGTGCTCCAGAATGTGTATATAGGTCAGAGAACAACTTGGAGAGCTGCTTTTCTCCTTCCATTATGTGGGTTCTGGGGTCTGAACTTAGGGTGGCAGGCTTGATGGCAAACACCTTTACTGGCTGAGCCATCTTGCTGGTTTTGTTTGTTTGTTTGTTTCTTTCTTTCTTTTTTTTTTTTTTAAAGACAGGGTCATACTATGTAGCCCTGGCTTAGAATTCTCTGCATAGACCAGTCTGGCCTTAACTCATACATCTCTTTCCTGCTACCTCTTCCTGAGTGCTGGGATTGAAGATATACACTAACACATATGGCCCACAATTTAGCTTTTCAAACAAATCATAAGACTTTGAAAAACTGAAAAGGTTATGGTACAATTTCTTTTAAGGAGCCAGATATAGCTTGTAATATAGAGTCATAATAAGGTAAATTTAAGGTCACAGAGACAGAAGAAGTAAGAGTTGAATAATTTGGGGCCATTGAGATGGCTCAGTGGGTAAAAGTGCTTGCTACCCAGGCCTGAGTTCATTCCTGGGAAAACCACAATGACAGAACTGACTAAACTAGTCCTCTGAGGTCCACAGCACATGTCTGCATGTGCACACGCTAACAAGAGTAAAATGAAGAGGTAGGGCTGGCTACTGTAAAAAGACTTGATTAAAATAATTATCTAAATAATCATGCTAATCAGCAAATGAATTTGCCTCTCCTTTGCATATTTATACATGTTAATAGGGAGAAGTTTCTCACCTGATTCCTTTGAACTTCCTCAGGGTCAAAATGTGTACCTCAAAGAACAAATTCAATTGAGGCACAAAAATAATATAAATCTTCAGATTAAGATAGATTTTTGTTTTCATTTTTACAGGGATGGCTTAGAATTACTAGACATAACTCTACAAGTTTCTTTTTTTCATTTGACAGCTAGCTAAAAGTTAATGACTCCTATAAGTAAAACCAATACACACAGCAAAATTAACATGTAGTGTGAATTAGTAAGTTGATCTTGAAGAACATGCCTATGAATTAGAATTAATGCACTCTGTGAGAGAGGGAAGCCTTGCTCCTGCCAAGTAGAAAAAGGGTTACTAGCCAAAGCAATCACTTAATCCAACTTTACCATCCAAATGACGATCTCTGTAAGAGCTCTCTGGGAACAAGCCCCTCAGATATGTTATACATGAGATAGATGTAGCAAAAAGTTTCTTCACCATTACCAGTGACTCATGCTCATTAGTGATTTGGGATGGGAAAATTGTTCTCTGGAAGAAAAACAAAGATGATAAAAATCAGTATTCATGAATATATTCAGCCCATCAAACCATTACCACAGATAGGATATAAAAACTTTTTAAGACTTCAAATCCGATGCATTTATAGATAATCAAAAGAAAACAGGGCTCTGAATACTAAGTTAAAATAGATCTTCATACACGCAAGGCAGAACAAAAAGGCAGGCAATTACTGGAGTAATTCAGGACTAAAACAATCTCTTCCAATGACCTATTGATCTGAAGCAAAATTGGGAGTTCAGCTAGAATTATATAACCTCATTGCTCTCTTTACACACTTTTTAGACCTCACTGTAATCTGAATTTTTACTCTTGTCTACTTTATACTGCTCTTTCCAAAGCTACCATGTACAACTCATCAGCGCTTCTTCTAACCCTTATGAATGTGTGCCTTCTTCTCTGGAGCATTTGACACTGTGTGCATTCTTCCTCAAACTGCCTTAGCAGTATTTTGTCTTGTTTTTTTGGCCAATCTGGGACTCAAACCTAAGACCTTGTTGCACCAGTTACTAAGCTAAACTCCTACCTGCTAACACTATTTCAGCTTTCATCCATCCTTAGACGGGGCATCCCTCCCCACCCACCCCATTCCCTGAGCCTCATTTTTCTGAAGAAAAAGAAAAAAAAAAGTCTCACTGGCTGGACTAGAACTCCTTTGTAGACCAGGCTGACCTCCAACTCACAGAGATCAGTGAAGAGCCTGTCTCTTCCTCCCAAGTCCTGAGATTAAAAGATGTACCACCACACCTGACCGATTTCTCTTTGTTTAACAGTTGTCCTCCTCGGGCTGGAGAAATGGCACAGAGGTTAAAAACACCGGCTGTTCTTCCAGAGGTCCTGAATTTAATTCCCATCAACCACATGGTGGCTTATTACCATCTAAAATGAGATCTGATGCCCTCTTCTAACCTGCAGGCATACATGCAGGCAGTATACTATATAAATAAATAAATCTTAAAAAAAAAAAGGAAATTCACCTTAAAAAACAAAACAACAACAAAAACAAACAAAAAAACAGTTGTCCTCAGGACTCTGTCTTCAATCCTCTTCTCTATTCACAGTTCTCTATGGTAACCTTGTCTATTTTCACAGCATCAGGTATAATCTATAGAGAAGACTTCAATTTCCAACGTAAGTTCCCTATGTATATATCTACTATCTGGGCATCTGCTCCTACACTACTGTGTAGACCTGAAATTCAGTGTCTCTGCTAATCTGCTTAAAGCATGGTCCCCAGTTTCATTCCCTGACAAGTAAATCAGCATCTATTTTCCAGTTTCCAGGCTAGAAGCAACTTCCTTCATCTTTGGCTTTTCTCCCTCTATCATATGCTATATCTAGCCTCCGAACTGTCTCTTTTTATAAACAATTTTAAAACGCATGAAAAGAAGCAAGGAAAGTTCTCTGTGTGCTATGTGTATGCGCCTGTGTGCACAGGTATACATATGTGTGGGTATACAACTATGTGTGTACACATGCATGTGGAAACCAAAGACCAACCTCAGGTGCTATCACTTTGCTTTTTGAGACAGGGCCTATCACTGCCCTGGGATTCACAGTTAGGTCAGCGAGCACCAGGCATCACCTGTCTCCAGCTCACCAGTTGCTGTAATTTCAAGTGTGCACAATGTCTGGGCTCAAACGCACGTCCCCATGCTTGCAGAATGTAAAGTTACAGGCACTAGTCACTTGAGAGTGGCTTGAAGGTAGAGAGGGAGGCAGCACGAAGAAGAGGTTAAGGGCACAGACTCTGCATCTGAACAACCACGTTCAAACAATTATTCTGTTTCTACTATAATTTATGATTTGGGCAGAGGTCAGCAACCTTTTCTAGTTGATGCCCAGATAATGAGTATTTTAGGTTTTGCAGTTAATTCTGCCATTGCAACATGAAAGAAAGCACAGACACTGTAAATAAGTAAAGCTGTTACAATAAAACACTATTGACAATAAATTGTTGCAGGTACCTTATCCTGCATAAATTCATCTTGTACCTTATTTAATCCCTTCATCTGTAAATAGGGGTAATAGTAAGACCTACTTTACTGAGAATTAAATAGGCTAAAGTCTATAAAATGCTTCATGTGGTCCCTAGTTCAATCATTTATTGTGTTTTGGTGTGTATGTGTGTGTGTGTGTGTGTGTGTGTGTGTGTGTGTGTGGTTTCACTTGTTATGTAAACTCTATTAATTTGTAAAACATCAATTACAAATCAAGTTCTGGGACAGCCAGGACTACACAGAGAAACCCTATTTGGAAAAAGAAGAAAAGAAAGAAAGAAAGAAAGAGACAGAAAAAGAGAGAGAAAGAAAGAGAAAAAGAAGGAAAGAGAAAGAGAAAGAAAGGAAGGAAAGATAAAGAAAGAGAGAAAAAAGAGAGAGAAGAGAAAAAAGAGAGAAAGAGAAAGAAAGGAAAGAGAGAGACAGACAGATGAAAGTGACATAACAAGAGCTTGAGTGCTCTCATGGAATTTACAGCCAGGTGGAGAGAGCGGACTTGGACTACAAGAGCAGAGACTAGGTGCACAACGAATGGAGAGGCACTAGAGGCAGCAGTTACTTACCTGAGTAGGAAAGCCGCGGGGAAAGAGAAATTAAATTGAGCCCCAAAGATAAGTGGCAAAGAAGAGGGATGTTACTAGTACAGGCAAGAGGGCAGGAGTGCTGTGAAGTATCAGGGAAATGACTGTCAGATCAGTATAACGGATCCTGTGAGTTAAGCAACAAGAAATACATGCAAGTTGAATAATGACTCTCCTCTTTAATTAAATACTTGAGGTTGGCTGGTTTGTTTTAATTCTGGCTCTGGGACCACCGGAAATAGTTTAGAGGACTGCTGAGCCCTGCCAAGATTATAAATGTCAAAGCTGACAATCCTAAAAAGCTGACAAAATCTCTTTAAGATCAAGTCATTCTTAGAACTTTCTATTGTCACCAAATCTCCAAATGATAAAATGTATTTGGTCAAGTTAGGGAAATTTCAACACTTAGTGACAGAATAGGCTTTCCCTGTCTTACTGGAATGAGACTACACTAATACAGTCAGAGCCTTAATTATCAAGAGGCTGAAGAGTTTCTCTTTCCAGGCCAGTGTGATGGTTCCTTGTGTAAGGTCATCAAGCCTGATGGCCTTAGTTCCATCCCCAAGATCCACAAACTGGCACTGCCTGCTGCAAGTTCACCGTGGCACACTGATCAGCCCCATAATCAGTTTTTTACAGTTTCGACTGCAGAAATAAAATACCCCCAGCCCAGGGATGGCACCATCCACAGTGGGTTGGGCCCTCCTACATCAATCACTAATTAAGAAAATGCTGTACAGGCTTGCCTATAGCCCAGTCTTATAGAGGCAGTTTTGTCGTTGAGGATCCCTCCTCTGATGACTCCAGCCCGTGTCAAATCAACATAAAACTGGCCACCACACTAGTTACACACATAAATAAGCAAGTACACACATGCACAATACATAAATTAGCAAATAAATTCACGCGGTAAAACTTTGTTTTAAAGTTTCTCCTTCCTCAGTGTCGTGGTTTGAATGAGAAGTGCCCCCATAGGCGCGTATGTTTGGACGCTTTGTCCTACTTGGTTGAATTGTTTGGGAAACACTGACTTATGACTTTGTTCAAGGAGGAGTATCATTGAGGGTGAGCTGTGAGGTTTCAAGAGCCGTCCTCTACGACCATTCCCAGTTGCTGTGCATACATATTTCTCCTACTCTCTCCTCTCTCATGCTTATGCATGAAGATGGAAGTTCTGAGTGACTGCTCCAGTGCCATGCCTGTCTACCTGCTGACATGTGTCCTCTAAAGCCCCCAATAAACTCTTTCTTCTTTAGGCTGCCTTGGTTGCGATGTCTTATCATGGCAATAGAAAAGTAACCAAGACATTCATTAAATTAAAATTAATTAAGTCTAATCCAATTTGAATGCTTTGCACACTAATTCTAAATTGGAAAGACTTTAGAACTAATTTAATTCAATGTACTCATGTCATAGGTAGTAAAGGGAAATTCAGAAATATAAGTTATTTGCCAGATCATAAAGCTAGCAACTGACAAGTGTCCTTTTATTAAAATATAGTGTTCAACTGCTGGACCTCTAATAAATCTTATAAAGTTACATAGGGGTAGCTACCAGCCACACACACATGTTCAGATAAAAAAGAACTTTGAAAAAGTACACACAGACACACAGACACACACAGACACACACACACACACACACACACACACGTACACACGTACATACACATAGTCCTAGAACATCTTCTGGTCATTCTATGTAAGAATGTATCTTCTTCAGTATTCTATATAATGACTATGAGTTATCACTATGTCTTTGTAAAATTACATTATATCCAGTTATTTCAAAGGTATTAAATTTTTTTTTTTTGAGGCCAGGCATGGTTATTTACTCCTATGATCCTACTACTAGGCTCAGAGGGGTGGAAGCAAAAGTTCAGGCTCACAGCCAGCCTGAACTACACAATGAGCTCGGGCTATGCAGTGTACAGCTAATAAGTAAAGTGGAAGTTTGGAGTTTTGAACCTACAGCTCCTGAGAAGTTACGGTTTAAATAACTGGGTAATAGCTGACATGGAATGCATGAAATAACTCACTAAAACATTGCAAAATGATGAGGTAATACCTGAATACTCATTTTTAAAGCGAAAGAAACTGGAAGTATAAAGACATTAAGTCCAGGCACTAAACAGCCATTTGTAGTAACAAAGATCATTGGCTGGAAAGGCTCTGCAGTTTTGTTACTCCAGGGGTTTTCTCCTTAACTAGGCTAGTCTAATAGTTTACGTGTTACTGGTGATGTTTTGTAAATAGCTAGTATATGAAAATTTCATAGCTTGAAAAGGCATTGTCATGTTTTGGTAGTAAAGCATGCTGCTGCTCCGAAGTTAGCTATTGGGTAGCCTTGAGATGGATACATCTCCAAACTTTACTTTCTTTTTTTATTTTTGTTTTTTGAGACAGGGTTTCTCTGTGAGTTTCCTGGCTGACCTGGAACTCTCTCTGTAGACCAGGCTGGCCTCAAAGTCAGAGACCTGCCTGCCTCTTCCTCCCAAGTACTAGGATTAAAGGTGTGCTCCACCACCCTGCTCAGTTTCTTCCTTACTGAGAGGTTTAACCAAAACAGTAACATAATGCCCTTGGCACAATGCCTGGCACACAGTTCAGTGGTGAATAAATATTGACTTCTATAGTTCTCATCATTATTTTCAGTATTAGATAACAGAACTGCACTGTCACTTGAAATTTACTGGGAAAAGTAGTTCACGTAACCCAAACAACAAAGCTTTAGTTGAGCCAAAAAGTCAATTTGTTCATTTAGAGGGAGAAAAATGCCTGCCATGCAGATTGCAGGTCATACACCTCGCTCAACATTTCCCCTGGGAAGGAGCACACCCTTGGGAAACTAGATGATTAAGTGTTGGCTTTCAGAGTTCACTGAAACAAAGCCAGAAAGATGACTGCTTGCTTTATGCCCAACTTCTTCAACTTCAAACGTTTCTTTGTCTCTCTGCTACAATCTAATATTCCTAAAACAAGTACTGTACTCACTTTTCTAAACAAATAAACTTTCTGACCTGGCACTGGCTACAAAATAAAGCATCAATTCTTTAGCCTAGCTTCTAAGGTCCAAATTGACCTGTTCCCCAATTTCCTATTTCATTTTGTCCCCTCTTCCTGGCCAACATGAGGGCATTACTATAGAAAAAGCAACTTTTCCTAAAACATACCATGCTTATTTCTTATTCTGAACCAAGGCATCGGCTAGGTATCCTCATGAAATTCTCTCTCCTCTATGAGCCTTTTCATTATTTCAGAGTATACAAAGATTCCTAAATTGCTACAGTTTGAGCTACTATATTCTTTTGTGGGTGGAAAGGTAGAGACAGTTTCTCAGTGTAGTTTAGGGGAACCTGAGACTCACTATATGGAGCCCAGCTCATCTCAAGCCTGTAATAATTCTGGCTTTGATCTTTTTCATATATATGTAAATAGAGGTCTGTTGATTTAGCTACCATAAATCTTATTTTTCTTAATCTGATGACAAAGAAAATAAAGATCATTTTTTGTATTTTCTCACAAATCAACACATTACATTTGTATTATACATTGAACCTAAATAAATAAGTAAGTGATGCATTAATGACTATTCTGGGATATACTGAACTAGCCTGGGTAAATCCAGCAAGATTTCCTAGCCTCACAGACTGTAGCTTATTATGTTTGAATCTTAAATGTTCCCTAAAGTTGAAGGCATGGTCATCAACCTGTTGTGCTACTGGGAGATGGTAGAACCTTTATGAGACAGAATCTACTGGAATGACATGATTATCAAGGGTGCCTCCTCCCCACCCCCACTCCAGTTCCTGGATACTGTGGGTGTGCCACTTTCTCTATTTCCCCTGCACAACTCTATGATGTTCTGCCTTGATACTAAGTCAAAAACAATAGAATCAACTTCTGAAACTGTGAGCCAAAATAAATCCTTCTTCCTTTTAAGTTTATTATCTCACATGCTCTGTCACCACCACAGGAAGTGACTAATACATTCTCCCCAGATTCTCAGCATCAACGCTCCTTTCAGTGAACTCCCATTTGTTTCTGAAAATTGCAGCACAAGTTTCCTAATTGCTGTAGGAAGTAGATGTCTAACAAAGAACCTTTTCTTTAAATGTCTTTAACTCTGGTAAACACGAAACAAGTACCCAGAAAGTAACCTTATAATTGGTCTTCATTTTCTGAAAAATCTCCAGTCCATTAGACATTAGAATGTAGACATACTTTCCCAGAGTATTATGTGCCAATTAACTGATAAAACTGTTGCTAAAGAAATTTTAAATTAAGTAACACACTAAATAGCCACTGATTTTCTTTTAATTCTTAACAAATACCTTAGATTCCTGCAATGTTCCGGTCTTGTGAGAGAGCTGAGCAGTAGTCATTGTGAGGGTGAATCAGGACTCTTTCAACAATTCTAACCTGTAAAACAAAATTAGAGATTTGGACTAACATAAAATACTTACTATCTTGTCTTTCCAAAGATGGAACTGAATTCTAAAACCAAAACTTAAAATCAAGTACACTTAAGTATAGACTATTTCCCAGACTGTCCTGTTTCAAGAGAAATTTACCAAGCTCAAAAAGGAGAATGAAACTAAAACAGTTCTACAGGGCCTTATCAAAATTATAAAAATGAATCTTAATTAGAAAAAATTCTTATTTTGAATTTTTCAAATGAAAGTTATATAAGTTAACTGTAGTAATTCTATCAAGCAGTTTTAATAACCACTTAAAGCTTTACAAAAAGTCTTTTCTAAATCTGGCATGAAGTCTCTTTGTTAATTTTTCAATGACCCAATAAAAATGTACTCATTCATAAACACATTCTCAGAGGAAAAATAAGTTATAAGTCACCTAAAGACTCAACAATGTATCTCATTCATCTCTGTTGCTCCCTCAGAGAGTAACTGTCTTCCTGTGTATAGCAGGGATCAAAACATTTCTTAGATTAACTTCTGGGTTTTTTTTTACAAACTCAAAACCTACTCAAAAAATAAGTGTCAGTGAAGAAGTAGAGAATTAAAACCCTCATTCACTGCTGGCTAGAATGTAAAATAGCCCAGCCACAGTGGAAAACAGTATGCAGTTCCTCATATTAAAAAAAAAATTACCCAGCATTTCCACTTCTAAGTACATAGCCAAAAGAAATAAACAAGGGAAGGAAGGAGCATCATCAACACATCACATACTTGTACATCCACTCCCAGAGCAGCCTTCTTCCTCACAGTCAAAAGGTGGAAACAATCCCACTGTCTATCAGTAGACAAACAGACAACATGCCGGGTGCAGCCGCATGCATCTGGAGGCCCACCTGCACTGGGAACTGAGGTAGACCAGGACTCAGCCTGGGCTACAGAGCAAAACCATAGCTAAAAAAAAAAAAAAAAAAAAAAAAAAAAAAAAAAAGGAGCTAGGGCATGCCTGTAATCCCAGCACTCAGGGAGGCAGAGGCAGGTGGATCTCTCTGAGTTTGAAGCCAGCCTGGTCTACAAAGTGAGTCCAGGACAGCCAACACTACACAGAGAAATCATGTCTCCAAAACAAACAAACAAACAAACAAACAGAGCAGACGAATGAATAAACAAAATGTGATTTATAGTATATATAAGGACTACTCAATCTTTAAAAAAGGATGAAATTGTGGTAATATGCACAACATAAATGAACCTTGTAAGCAATGCTACATTAAAATAAGACAAAGCCAGCTACAGAAAGACAAATATATGTTCTCAAATATGAGTACCTACAATAAGTTAAGCAAACATATACGGACAAAAAGTAGAGGTTATGAGGGTGGGGACAGAAGAAATGGCGGTTTAATATGAGTGTTTTTATTCATGGTGGTGAACTGTTTGGAAATGGTAAATGGCTGGCAACTGTCACATGACCCTGAGCAGTACTAGATCAGACACTGAGAATGGCTGCCATGACTAGTTTCAATTACGCACAGTAGATCACAATTAAAAAGTGTGATGGAGGTGGGGGTTAAAAACCCAAAATCATACTCGAAGACTAAGTTGCTATTTTAAAAAGTTTTAAAAGGTAGGAATCAAAGTATACTTTTCACCCTTTTTGCCTCAGTGAAATTTTTAAAAAGTAAATCTTCCATTTTCTTTCCAAAGGCCTTAATCTTGGGGCCTTACTTGCAATAACCCACTTAAAGGAAGTTCATTCTGGCTCACTCAGGGCAATGTTACCTATTATACTAGCAATTAAGGCAAGATTCTGGAGATTTTTGCAAATAAAAGGTTAGAATTGTTTGGAGACAGTACCACAAGGTGGTGATAGAGACTATAAACAGATACTATTTAATTTCTCTTATTTCTTCAAAGCAGCACTAGGGGACACTATCAGAATATTTCTATACGAGACATTGAAATCTACATAATGGTCATTGAGTAGTCCTTAAACACTGTTTTCTTTTGTTGTCTTCAGAATATAACCATCAAATCTGACTCAGAACATCTGCTGTCTCCCTTACATTTTAAAAAAGGAAGAGAAAGGTAGGTATAAGGGTTTAAGTTCTAGTTCTAACCCATTAGAACCTAACCTCCTACAGGGGACGCAATAAATATAAGGAATAATGGTTTTAAAATCACTTTCTATATTCATAGGATTTTAAACAATTTCTCTATAATCATAAGATATTTCTGATGGCATGTCTAGAGAATCAAGACCTAAAAACAAGCTGGGTGTGGTGGTACACGTCTGTAATCCTAGCACTTGGAGAGGCAGAGGCAGGTGGATAGCTGCGGGTTTGAGGCCAGCCTGGTCTGCAAAGCAACAGTCAAAGCTACACAGAGAAACTCTGTCTTGAAAAAAAAAAAATGACCTGAAAACAGCATCAGCCAATTACACCACCACGTACTGTAGGCACCTGTATTTTTTAGACTATATGGATGACCCAGATTAAATTAAAATTACTGAAAACCAGTATCTCCAGTGCTGTTGCATCTGAGAAATGATTAAAATATTTATAAGCAAGTAAAATTAAGTTTTATGCAACACAAATGGATATGTAAGAAGACGTAACAAACAATAGATTCTAGCAAAAATAGACTTTGGAATCAAATTTGGGGTCTACTACCTAGCAGATGTGTAACTGGCAAAATTAATTCCACTGAGATTTGGTTTTGTTTTGTAAATTTAAGTACACCTACAACTTTCAGGTCTTGGTGTACATCTGGAGCAGTAACACAGGACACAGCTTAAACATGCTGCCTTTCTGAAACAAAACTGCCCATGAGTGCATGTCAGTGTGCAATTCACTGTATAACCTTGGACAAGATGTGTGCCTCAATTTCTCCATCTGTACAATTAAAAAATGTAACAGTGGCTACTTCATAGTTATTTCAAGATTAAATTTATTAAATGAATAAGGTACTTGGAACACTTTTTGATGCGCATTTTATTAAATGTAAGAAGGTATGTTTGCTTTGCTGTATTTCTCGGTGTTTCCCAGACTCAGCAGTTTTCTCCCACTCCAATCTTCTCACCTATTTTCCTCCTGCCATTTTGGTATTCCTCAAGTTTCTGTCCCAACAGTCTTCTTTTTCTGTTTTTTGTTTGTTTGGTTTGGTTTTTGGTTTTTGGTTTTTTGAGACAGGATTTCTGTGTAGCCCTGGCTATCCTGTACTCACTCTGTTGACCAGCTGGCCTCGAACTCACAGTGATCTGCCTGCCTCTGCCTTCTGAGTGTTGGGATTAAAGGCCTGTACCACCACTTCCCAGCTTTTTTCAAACTTCTAAACATACTCTCTGAACAAATAAATATACTCCCATTATTTCAATTACTATTCCTAGTCTAATGATTTATATATATATATATATATATATATATTCCCAGCTCCGGTCACTCTCAGGAGTTACTGACTACAATTCTGTCCATTAGTCAATTCCCACTTTGATGTTCTTAGCACATCCAAATATGAATTCTTTTTCCTCAAACTTTGTTTCGTAGCGAAGGACATCATCGAATGCGTAAATCACTCAATCTGAAGATGTGTGACTCAACTCTGCCCTCTTATTTCTCTGTCAACTTAGTGTTTCTCAAATGTGTCAACTGCTCACTTTCTCTACATTGCTGTCTACTTTTATTTGGAGGTGGTCTTCTTTTTGCTACTGTTGTCTGACAGGGTCTCACTACATGGCCCCAACTTCTTGGACCTTGCTATATATAACCCAGGCAGCCTTGATCTTGAGGCGATTCTCCTGCCTCCACTTCTCAAGTGCTGGGATTGCAAGTGTGTATCACCACACTGACTATTTTTCCAGAAGACCCAGAAATATTTCCCAGCTCCAACATGGCAGCTCACAAACATCTGTAACTCCAGACCCAGGGAATAATGCTCTCTTCTGGCCTCTCTTAGGTACTAGGCACCCACATATATACATGAAAGTAAAACACCTACACAAGTAAAAAATAATTATAATACAAATAAAGATACTTTTTAAAAAGGTGGAGAGCAAGTGAGGAAGACAGCAGACAAGAACATCTGACGTCCACTGCACATGCCTTTCCGGGTGTGTGAAAGCACATATGTGCACAGGGAGACAGTAAAATGTGCTGAGCTATAGTGGCACACACTTTAAACCCAGCACTTGGGAGGCAGAGGCAGGCAGATCTCAGTGAGTTCGAGGCCAGCCTACTCTACAGAACAAGTTCTAGAACAGCCAGGGCTATACAAAAATCTGAGTCAAAAGCCAAAAAAAAAAAAAAAAAAAGAGAGAGAGAGAGAAAAGAAAAAAGTAAAAGCATAAAATAATAAAGGACATTTAAGATCAGCAGGAGAATTTGGTTTGTCAAAGTTCTTCCTGTTAAACATTTTGCTGAGCTTACTTCAATAAATTGTTAGCCACCATTTTAACAAATTCCATTTGTCCCTGATAATTCTGCTACTTCTTGCTTCATAATAAGTGGCTCCCAGTATATTAATTGGGTATTTGTTCATGCTCTTTGCTTTTTTTAAAATATATTTTTCATTCTACTTCCATTAATCCGTTCATTCAACATTTCCTGTGTAATTGCAATGTTCCAAGCAAAACACAGGATTACAAAAAGTAAAATACAGTCCTTGCCTCCAAAAATTCATAGTTTAATGAAGGAAAAATTAGGCTATCATTCTAACGAAATCTAATTACACTCGCACTTTAATTTTAGCAGGTGAGCAGACGACGTACTGGACGGCCCATTTAACGCTCATGTCATGTATGTGCAGATTTCACAGATGAGAAAAACCGTGGTATTTGCTGCTTGCGTCTGGCTTATTTCACTTAACAGAGTGATCTCCAGTTCCGGTTCAAAAAAGACCGAACTCTGACGGCTATTAAGACGGTGGAAATTCAAGGCCTACCAGCGCATTTCTCGCCATCACACCACCAC